CAAGGCTCTCAGCTGCTTCGAGAGATGATGCATTGACAGAACCTGGTCTTTAGTGAGTCCCTTCATCTCTGGGACTGAGGAGTCCATACCCAACGAGTCCTTACCTCATAGGAAGCAATCAAACTCGGTATTGTAATCACTTTCACTAGAGGAGAGAGAGAGAGAGAGAGAGGAAAAATTAGTGATGCTTCTAAGTTCTAAATATAATTAGTGATCAAGGATTGAAGATATAAAAATTAAAAAGAATAAAAAGATGTCAACTTATCCACACACATACATTATACTAGCATAAGATATGCAAGGACATGTACATTGTACATAGGAATACCTGTTGTCGCCTAGGATAGGACATGGTTCAGGATTGGGTTGTAGCTCTCAACGTCCTAGAGGGATTGAGTATGAAATAATGAGAGTGCTTCCTGACAGGGTTCTTAGCTCTAAAAAAATCCGAAAATATTCCCACGCTGTTAGAAAAAATTCAGAAAAAATTCCAAAAATAAAAATAAAAAAATTCAAAAATATTATAACACTTATAATAAAAAAATTCAAAAAATTACAAAAATTAAATTAAAATATATGAAAATATTCTTAAGCTGCTGAAAAAAATCCGAAAAAATTTGAAAATAATATAAAAATAATCCGAAAATATTTCCACAGTCATCATTAAAAAATCCGAAAAAATTCCAAAAATTAAATTTAAGAAAGCTAAAAATATTCACATGCTTTCTGAAAAAATAAGAAAAATTTTCAAAAATGAAAATAAAATAATCCAAAAATATTCCCATGCTGCAAAAAAATCATAAAAAATTCGAAAAATATAATAAAACTATTCTGAAAATATTTCCATGCTCGGAGAAAAAATCAGAAAAAATTCCAAAATTAAATAAAGAAAATCCAAATAAATTCCCACACTCCTGAAAAAATTTTTTTTTAATTCCAAAAATTAAATTAAAAAATTTGAAAATACTCCCACACTCATGAGAAAAAAATACAAAAAATTCAAAAATTAAATAAAAATTCGAAAATATTCCCACGCTCTTGTAAAAAATAAGAAAAATTAACTCAAACTTTATACACAACATAAGGACAAGTACGTGTATGTGTATCAGAAAATATTACAAAAACTGAGAATTCTCTACTTTTTAATTTTGGCAAAATTTAGCTAACACCCTTGTACTATAGTACAGGGACTTTGACCCAATTTTTGAGCAACTTTAAAAATTTATAAAAAAATCCAAATTTAATCAAAATCAGCTCAAACTTTCTACACAACATAAGAACATGTATATGTATCACTAAATTCCATATACACAATTAAAATCAGACTTTAACTGAAACCACAGCCTTACTAGTGTGATATAAAGTTCTCCTTCATTATAATCTGTCTGATACTCTTCCAGTCAGTGTAAGGTTCTCCCATTAGCATGCAGATGCTTTCCAGTGCCATCTTGATGACCTGATGGGGTTGTTCAGAGCCCTCACTTCAACCAGGTGGGATTTCTTAAATTCCTTCACAGCTGCAATTAATTATTTAATTACCTTAT